TCTCCTAAGGTGGGTTTCTTTTTGGCCTCATCTGTACCCCAAAAAAATAACCCCACTATTAAGAGAGGGCCGCCACAGCAGCAGCAGCAGCAGCAGCAGCAGCTTAGCGAGCCAAACAAGTTATATATGTCAATCGCAAAGGCTTTTCAAGATCAAAATAAGTAGCAGCACACAGTCACCTCATATTAAAAAAAAAAAAAAATGGGAGAAATATAAAGATCCTTAGTGGTATATGTGCAGCCCAGTATTTTTTTTTAGGGTTTTTTGGGGGGAGGGGGTGCCTTTGAGTCAGCCTTGATTCCTGGCGAGTGCCTGGACAAGTCCCTGCAGTTTTCCTGGCAAGATTTCAGAAGTGGTTTGCCATTGCCTTCTTCCTAGGGCTGAGGGAGACTGACTGGCCCAAGGTCTTTGTGTCCAAGGCAGGACTAGCACTCACCCGTCTCCCACTTTCTAGCCTGATGCCTTAGCCACAACACCATTGGGAGGGGAGAATATGAAATTCTTCATTTGTGTAACTGAAACAATATTCCTAATCACATAAATCCAATCTGCTTGGTTTTAAGAACTGTGCTATTTTCTTATAGCAGTTTCAGTATCAGAAGCCCCCAACTGCTATAGCTGACTTGCTTGTTGCTTGGCTGTGTGGTGGGGCCCTTGGACCTGGGGATAGGAGGGTGAAGGCCATGGATGATGGCTGTTGTAAAGAGGAAGAAAGCAGGCAGTGACATCATGACGGTGGGTATGGGGAGATATGGTGGAAGACAAGGCAGGCTGCTTTTAGGGAAAGCACCCCAACATTTGGTACTGGTGTCACACTTCAACCCCTGTATTCAAGCCCAAATCATGGTCATTGGAGCTTCACTGGCCCCAGGTTTTGCCTGCTGCTGCTGAATGCCAGATTGGTCTGTTACACAGCCTCCCTTATTCATGATGTAATTGTGGATGACAGGGCTGACCTGGCATGCATTAGCAAGACCTAGCTGGGGGGGGGGGCAAATCCTCTCTGGGAAATATGCCCACCTGGATTTCAGGTGTGGCATTACCCCAGGTTCTGGGGCAGGAGTAGACGTGTAGCCATTTTTATCTGGGAGACTCTGGTGGCTTCCAGGGACACTGCTCTGCAGATAAGTAGATGGGAGACCCTGTTTGTGAAGCTGGGCCTTAGGGATCAGATGAGACTGCTGCTTGTGTACCAGCCTCCCTGCTATACATAGCTTCCTTGCTAAGTTGCTTGACTCCAATGACAGGATTGAGGTAGAGTCCCCAGACTTACCGTTTTAGAGGATTTCAACTTGTCTTTGCTTGGTTGGGAGTCAAAGACAGCTCAGGAATTCATGGTCACTTGGGCAGTTGTAGACCTGATCCAGGCCTCTGACAGCTCCAACTCACAGAGAGGGTCACACACTAGATCTGATTTTTATCCCAGAGCAGTGATGACATAATCCAGAGTCTGGGGATGTTGTCATCAGCCCCTTGACATAGATTGATCACTCTCTATTAGCCTTGGAGTTTTCTATGGCTACACTCTATTGCAAGGAAGAAAGATCCTCAATGAACCAACCCAGTGGGGTTCCAGAGGGAACTAGAGATAGTTTCTAAAGCTCTGATGCATGGTTTGACCAAGACCTTCATTGCTGCTTGGACTCTGCCTATGTGGATTCTATGTGTATGAAGATCCTGGAAGGTCCCCTGATTTTTGTAAGAACTCTGGAAGATGAAGCAACCCTGCTGATCTAGAGACATCTAGAGTGCTGGTGAAGGAAGACAAAGAGCAAGTCTGACCGAGCACAGTAAGAATCTACATGATGGATTACCTTGTGACAATATGCGTTTCTTTCTCCTATAACCACCTGATGACCCTGTTTTGGGCAACTCAATCCCTTCTTAGTAAGGAGGGGTCATGGGAATACTTGCAGGGCTGTTGTGAGAATTATGCTACACATCTGTCGGATAAAATGCTCAGTTCTGCTTGGAGTTAGATTCTAGCTGGGGTCCTCCTGGACTCACAGCCTCTGCTTGAGGACTCTTGCACAAATATTTCCTGTGCACCAGTTGCACCCATTTCAAGATCAGGAGGTACTGCTCACAATCACTCACACCTTAGTCACCTCCCAATTATACTATTGCAATGTGCTCTCCATGGAGCATTCAGAACCTTCAGTGGGTCCAGAATGGAACAGCAGATGAAATACTGGGTGCAGCACATTATGTGCATGTAACCCTGCTGATTCATGACTCCCAGTGGGCTTCCAGGTACAATGAAAGGTTATTATCTTTAAAGTCTTACATGGCATGGGGCTAGGTTACTTGTGGGATCACCTATTCTTAATAGTTCCTGCTGTGGATTCCCTTGGTGAAGCTGTGGGTGGGTGGGTGAAGCTTCCCTTGGTGAAGCTGTGGGTGGGTGCCAGGAAGCATGTCTTCTCTGCCATGATGCCTACCTTATGGAGCAGCCTCCCTCCAGAGACATGGATGGCCCTGCTGACCTTCAAGGCCATAAAGACTTGGCTTTTTCCCCAGCCACTGGGGCCAGGATGTTAATGGAGCTCTGGTATAGGGGAGTATGATACGTTGGCAATGAATTTTTTATGGGAGCCTCAACCTCAGTTTGTTTGATTTTTCTTTTAATTGGTTTGGATAACTATTGTTTTTATCTCTGTTCACCATCCATAGTTCTACTGGTTAGTTGAATGGCAATATAAATTTGCCAAATAAATATATCTAGAACAGTGAAATAATATTGGGGACACATGTAGAGTATGGTTTTTGAAATTCTTTCCAACCACTTTAAATAGTTCTGTTCTGGGTCACAAGAAGGAAAAGGGAGGAGAGTTTGGACCAGAGGACTCATCAGCATTCTAAGCCACTACCCCGCTTCTTTTCCCATGAGGATGCACTGGGGAAAATTTTCCTACATTTTTTTTTCTCTGAAGCTGCTGGGTGGGATCTGGCCCATTCTCAAAGCTGATCTCTTTTTTTGTTGACTTCACCTGTCATGCAAAGAATTATCTTATAGACAGAGTCCCAAGCCCTTTTCTATAACTTCTTTCCAATATTTTATTCAGTTGAAAATAATAAAAAGGGTTAGAAAGTACAGGTAGTCCCCAGTTGAAAAACAAGTTCAATTCCCAAGGTCTGTTCTTAAGTCAAAATTGTAAGTCGGAACAGTATTATTCTATAATATTGTATAAGTAGTACTGCATCATGAACTCGAACCATTTTGTATTTAAATTGAATTTTGCTAGAATCGGCTCCATTCTTAATTATGGGTCGTCCTTAAACCAGGCGTTCTTAACCTGGCGACTACCAGTATGTTGTTTTGAATATTTCTCCAACTGTTTCTATGAAAACCATTATTAATTCAGGATTTCCAAAACTCAACTTCACACATAATGCTAAACTATAATGTACTGTTTTATTTTTTAGCTTAGGGCAATGTTTGAACCATTCATTACAGCTTAGCATGATACGCAAGTCAGGCTATTATGACTGAAATTCGTAAACTCAGCCAATATGAGCCACTGACATCTCTAATCTCTTGCAGTGAGAGGACAACTAAGCATAAAACAAACACAAGAAATGCCTACCAAGTAACCCAACCCATTAGATTTGTTTTTTCTTTTAACATAGATTTCCTATCATTATAAAGCAGTTATCCATGATTTTTTTTCAATTCTATACTGAAGCAACAGAACATGCACTGCATATTAATTTTTAAATTACCACTGAACAACAAAACAGAGAGCACCATAAAAGTCAAGGACACGAGTTCCACAGATAGGCAGATAAGTCATTCCAACAAAGGGCCAAACTTAGAAAGTACAGAGGCCCTCAAATATTGCTTTTCTGGTTGTATTCAATCAACCAATTCAACAACGAACACATTAAACATATTATCAGACACACTGAAGGAGACTGAATATATACTTACTATTCCAAAACTAAGATGATTTCATTTGTTGTTTCATAGACTTCATGGAGATTCACTACCCGGGGACTTGGTTTTGTTAGTTCTAGAATAGCAATTTCATGTAGGATGTCTGCTTTGCAGTCTTGGCCTCTTCTCCTCTTTTTCAGAAACTTAGCTGCATATTCCTGGCCTGTAGCTTTCGCAATACATTTTCTAACCACAGCAAATTTTCCTCTGAAAAAAAAAATGAAGGAACAACTGTGAAGTACTTCACCAGTCCAAATCAGAAGGACAAAAACATTTTGTAATATTTCACCCTTGTTCTTTGCAGATAGAAATGTGCTATTTTTTGCATCCATAACTGTATCTTCTGTAAAGATTTCTTTTATACCTGGTATACATGTGGCCTTCCAGACAGTCTTGCAACCCAATCCCAGCCCCCTGCCATTACCTATAGTGGCTAAAACTGAATGGAGCTGGTATTCAACATCTGGAAGATCACAGGTCATTCATCCTTGATGTAAAGCTACTGAAGATTTAGAAAGCCAAAACAGAGCTCTTTGGACAGAAAGTTTAGCTGTGATCTACTCGGGAGCTCTTACTACCGCTTCAATTTACTATCTCTTTGTTCTAATTCATCATTTCTCTTATCTCAATTACAATTCCTTCCAACTTTAAATCCTAGAAACAGACATTTTGTAAAGAATATGCTCAATCTGACTGATGTAAATGAAATATAAAGATTGCAATCTTAGAACCACTCACATACAAAACTATTAATCTTAATGAGATCACTATTATTTAAACAGATTTGAGTAACCCTTCATTTAAGATTTCAACAGAACAATTAATGTTTGTAACTTGACTAAATTCTTATTAAACATTAGACATTAAAACTATGCTAAAACATACTGAGAGGGTTAGAACTACTTTCTGAACACTGCAAATAGGTTGCAAATGAAATTATCAGATATATTAAAAATGGTTGTATATTTAAGATTCCAGGACAAAACAATTAAATTATTTTACAGCACTTCAAGTATTAATGCTTTATTTCACACTATGACAGTTTTACAGCAGTTGAACACTTTATGCCTCCATGAAAATTATATTAAACCAAACCAATCAAACCTTTATTTCAGTCATAGACCAGTATAAAAATCATACAGGTTTTTGAGAGCTATGAGAGATAATATTACCCCCGTAAATTCCATTTAGAACTGTTTCCCAATCTTTTAGCGCACAATTTTGCTTAAACTCTGCTCAGATTTTTTTAATTTGCAGGAACCTTACATTCTTTCAAAGACAAAAACAAAAAACAAAAAACCCTAGACTCAATTTGTGATAGCTCTGCAACAATAAAGAGACATGACTTTTGAACTGGATTTGAACAGAGCTTTTAAAATCCTGATTATGTGCCATCAAGCTGTTGTTGACTCTTGGCAACCACATAGATTAGATTTTCTCCATGACGACCTGCCCCAAACCTGGTCTTTCAGGTCTTCCAATGGTGCACATCGCCACTGTAACTGCAGCTGGTCGTCCTCTTCTTCTCTTTCTTTCTACCTCTCTCAGAAATTGAGACTTCTCCAGAGAACTAGGTCTTTGCATAATGTGTCCAAAGTGAGATAGTCTGAGCCTGATCATTTGTGCCTCAAATGAGATCTCTGGGTTTGAAATGAGATCCATTTCTTTGTTTTCTTGGCTGTCCACAGTATTCTCAGGAGATTCTCCAACACCAAAGTTCAAAAACATCAATACTCTTTCTATCCTGCTTCTTCAAAGCCCAACTTTTACTTCCATAAAGTGTCATAGGGAATACCATGGCTTGTAATGATTCTGATCTTTGTAGGTATAGAGACATCACAGCATTTGAATATCTTTTCCAAGGCCGCCATGGCTGTTCTCCCAAGTGCTAGTCTGTGGCATATTTCTTAACTGCTTGTTCCTATACTGTTGATGGTTGATCCTAAAAGGCAGAAGCTATCCACCACTTTGATATCTTCATTGCCAATTCTAAGGCTGGTTGTTTCACCTGTTATCATTAGTTTGGTCTTCTTTATATTTAATTTAGCCCCATTTTTTTCACTGTGCTCCTTCACTTTAATTACTGGAGCTTGCAGATCCCTTACATTTTTAGCCATCGGGGTACTTTAAATCCTGGACCAAATCATATTACTAGCTTTCCAATGGTAAGGTGGAACTTGGCCTAAAACATATTACATCACTGATGCTGCTTTTTGTTTTGTTTTTTCTTAATTACCTTTTGTCAAAGAGGAAGTGCAGAGGAACTAAAATGACTGCTTCAAAATTCTTATGACCCAGTTGCCTGTGCACACATTTTGACAGCATTGGAAAGAAGGAGTAAACTATTAAAGTCAGGAAAGACTTGAGCTGGAAGAAAGAGTCAAAAACAAATCCCATCTTTGGTGTAGATGAAGAATACCAAATTATGTTATTGACAAGCATACCTTGACAGATAAACCTGCCATGGTAAAGCAAAATTAATGAACTGGGCGAGTTCAAGCAGTAACTTTCCCAATAAAATATAAAAGTACATCTCAAAGTCTTCATACAAAAACCAATTCTCAATTGCTAGTGAAAAACAAAGCATGCCATTTTTTCCCTTACTGCTCATTTAACTGTAGAATAAAAAATGTATGTTGGTAAGCTTGTGTTTTTAGAAGAAAACCACATACTGTTTAAAAACCAAGCTGACCTTTCGGAAGTAAAGAAAAATGTATTCCCTCAGCCAAGTTGAGAATGCCTGAAAACCAGCATTTTTATTTTAGCACAGAAGTTTATAGGAATGCTCAGAAATACAATACTAAGATTAGACTGGGAACAGAATCAGAGAGTTAAAATCTTTGGAAAATAATTAAATGAAAAGTATATGCTGTGGGCACAAAAATCTTTCTAGCTCACCCACCCATATTTTAAAATATTTTTAAACCCTTATTCCACCAATATTCATAAAGCTTAAGACAATAAAATAACATCAGAAAAACACCTGAAATACATAACTAAAACATCCTTGAAGTTAACTTTTATCAGGTAAGATCTACACTAAGAGAGTTGTAAATTAGCTTGGGAAAATGTCCAAGTTTGAAGGCCAGCCATTGAGAATACTCCTCAAGCTATCACTAATTTTAAATATAGGGACCAACAGACAGCATTTTAAAACAACCCTTTAATTGGACTGGAGTATGGAAATGGTAAAATTTGTAAATCTTATATATGTAAAATATGTAAATCTTATAGCAGTCAAAAATAAATATAACTTAAAATATATTACATTAAAAAAGTCATTTTTTCTCTGAAAGTTCTTCCTAATATACCTATATATATCCATTTTGAAAGATCCTATTTCAATTAACAAGTAAAGTGCTCTAATAAAATTATGTGCAAGTGTGGGAACAACTTGAAAGTTCATGTTTGTTTCTTTGAAAAAAATTTTTTTTCAACAGTTCTCTTAGGACCCTATTATAAAACTATTAAAAGAAGAATTTTCCAAAAAAACACCCAAAAGAAACAAAAGATACCTCATTCCAAGGTCAACAACTGAATTGTGTACTGAAGTACAAACAGAATAGCTACCACAAAGAAACATAACTTTAAAATCTCACCTATTATTTCAAGGTGACTGATCTTCTACAAATGCAACATGAGCCAGCCAAATTCAGTAATGTAATAAAGCTTGAATTTTCTTTAAGCAATTATTATTATTGCTTCTTTCCGCAATAGGTAAAATTAGCTCAGTAAATTTGCTGGCATCATTACAAAAAGGAGGAACTATTTCAGTCTCCTGAAGACAACCAAACACAAGCTAATGCATTAGGGTTGTGCAATGCTTTTCATTTGTTTAGGTAAAGGTGCTTTGGAGAACATGGAAGAAAGTACATACACGCCAGCAGTATGCACTCAACTTATTAAAATAGCCACATCTATTCCCCAAATTGCAGGATTATTTTAAGAGGTCACTGGCAGTTGTTGCATTTAAGCTCCCACATACTCTGAAGCACCTTTTTGGAACTGAATCCAAAGCATGGTACAGGCCTACTATGCATACATTTTTGAGGTATTTTCTGGACAAGTACAATCCACTCATAAAAAAAGAAATCATAGTGCAGTATTTGAGACTCAATGGTTTCAGTTTCTTAATGGTTGTTTAAAAGCCATAAACTCCTATAAAATCTAAGGCTGAAGAGGAGTTTTGATACATGAGGTAGGGCACTGAAGGCCACAAAAAAAATCGTGAGAGAATTTCAGGAATTTTGCATGGAAGTGATAACCAGAAAGATTCCACACTTTTCATAGCCGTTCATGAGGCATAAACACATTGCTCACTTTTTTGCCTCAGTTACCCACTCCCTCTGATCTCCCACCCTTTGATATGACACCCATCTGCAGATGTTTGACTCTTTTTCATTTTGGCCACCTTCACATTTATGATACTTCAGACACAACAAAGATTCTGTTTATTAAATGTACACATCTATTTCAGGCATTCTCAGTTTTAACTTCCAGTCATGTGCAGTTATAGCAAAAATACACATTCACTTTAGCTGACAGCATGCACACTGATATTTCACAAGATCCTACAATATAAATGAAACTGACAGACACATAGGCAAGTTAGAAATCTGTAAGTTCTGGATAGGAGAAAATGGGCTTAAACTTAATTCTAGTATTGTCTGTCCATCAAGTGTTTCTAGACAAGATGGCACTGCCCCTGAAGGAGTAGCCCTTTGACTTGGCAGTTCTTCTGGACTTACAGCTCCTGCTAGAACAGGCAGAAGCTGTGGCCACAGTATTTTTTCCCCAGCTTCAGCTGGTAAGCCAGTTGCAACCCTACGTAAAGCAGGAGGATTCTGCTTACACTGATTCAAGCACTTGTTGCCCCCCTGCTTAGACTACTGCAATGTACTGTACATGGGGATGCCTTTGAAGATCACTCAGAAGCTGCAATTCTGACTGGCGTTCACTGATGAGAACACATTATAATAGTGCTGAGGGTCCTGCACTGGTTGCCAATAGATTTCCGGATCCAATTTAAAGTGCTGATACCAACCTATAAGGCCCTACATTGGCAGCTAGTCATCTGCAGGACCCCATTCTCATTGGAATCAATTCAATCTACCCAGGAGAAAGTATTGGTGATGCACCACTTTGCGGGGGGGGGGGGGGCTTGGGGG